GAGAGAGAGAGAGAGAGAGAGTAGAGAGAGAGAGAGACAGAGAGAGTAGAGGGAGAGACAGACAGAGAGAGGCAGAGAGAGAGAGAGGGAGAGAGAGAGAGACAGACAGAGACAGAGAGAGAGAGAGAGAGACAGGGAGAGAAAGAGAGACATCAAGAGAAAGAGAGAAAGAGAAGGGGACAAAAAAATAGAGAGACAGAGACTGACCAGTGTGGTAGGCTGCCGGACAATGTTCTTGATTTTGTCCTCAGTGATGGCACAGTGGGCGTGGTGGGCCTGAGAGATGCTGAGGATGACGTCATAGATGGCCAATTGACGACTCTCCAGCGCCGACTGCTCCTGGCTGGAGTCACTCGATGTCACGCTCTGGTCCTCCTGGCTCTTGGACCGTTTGGGCACCCGGCCGTAGCGCACAGCTGTTGGTACATCCATGACATAGACGTAGGATCAACTTCAGTTTTAGTAAGAGTTTTACAGCATTTACAACACAATTGGGTCATATAATAAGTGGCCAAGATTAGAAGTGTTATAAAAAAGTAACAAACAACACACACACAAAAAAGGAAGAGAGATATGGATGATAAATGTTTGATAGGAAAGAAAGAGCAAACTACACCAGACCACTGGCCAAGAACTCACTTAGGGTTGATTTTTTGGTATATTTGGGAGATGAAAAGGAAGACGATGAAAACGGATGATCATAAAAGAATAGAAGAACTCATATGACAAATATACAAGCTGTTGACAACCTACAATGATGGCAGTTACTGCAGGGGGTCCATAGTGCTTTGACTACATACTATGGTTGGGGACAAGGCTAAAACAGGTAGGAAACACTGCCAGCCTCATTCCATTAGCATGTAAGTCACTTTTTTAGGTTCTAAGAATATTCTTTTTAAAAAAGCACCCAAATCAGAACCATGAATTGTGCATTTGTTATTTTTCAGGTTAAAAAAAATTAATGAATTAATGAAACAATACAAAACTATTGTAAGATGCCCTTTGATATCATTTGTATCTGAATTAAACCTCTTTATCTGGAAACCCCCCCAGAAACTGATTTGGGCGGTTGTGGAATGGTCACTGGTATAAGCGATTGTCTTGGTTAGGTGGTTATTAGGGCAGGTTCGACTGTATTTCAGAAACAAAACAAGTCCAATATTTGAAATTTCCTTAATTCAACCACACCTTATCTTCAACCCTTCATAAATTCCCATCAAGGAACAAAGGATGTACTTACAATCACGAGACATTCCCACAGCCAAACACTTCTTGAAGCGACAATACTGGCACCTATTTCTGTTGAGTCGTATAACCATACACTTGCCGTCCCTCAGACAACGGTATTCTATCTGTTTCTGGATGCTGCGTCGGAAGAAGCCCTGTGACAAGAGAGTGAGACAGTGAGAGAGAGAGAGAGAGAGAGAGAGAGAGAGAGAGAGAGAGAGAGAGAGAGAGAGAGAGTATTGAAAACACAACGTAAAACACAGCAACACAACACAACAGGTGTATTGTTGTAGTAAGCATTTTACAGCACTTTCAACACAATAAGGTCACATAAGAGCCAAAGATTAGGGGTGTTAAAGAGAGTAAAAACACCAAAAAATGAAGGAGGAGACATAAGAATAATAGACGCTTGATTGGAAAGAAGGAGTAAACCACACTAGACCACCTGCCAAGCACCCACTAACAGGTGTGCCAGCCAAGCACCCACTTACAGGTGTTTGGCTAGTTCAAAAGAAAGAAAATGACCCTGACAGCACAATTTATACACTAGTCCAGAAATGGAGAATTAAACTTTAACTTCCGACTCATATTTGTTCAAACCATTAGGCAAAAATGTCCATACATCAGGAATGAACTTCATTAAAAAAAGAATCCTCTTTTGTAAGAATAATAAAGCCCTTCCCATTAAAATTTTACAACAAATATACCCTGAATTCATTCTATGGATCTGACGACTACAATCTTCCATGATCACCC